CAGTAGATGTATTTCAGCTTTGCATGGCAGCTGAGCATTTCATTACATTCAAGGGACAGTTGTTATTTTGGGTATGTATTACCTTAAGACAAGCTTGTTTGCTGTCCTAGTTTATACATTCACACATGTATTTTCATAGCTTGACAACTTTATGGAGATAAAATTCATTCGTTTAAAAGGTATATAATGTAGTTTTTAGTATATTCAGTTATATGATTAATACTATGATTTGAAAAATTTGTAGTCTTGGCTGTGTAAATTATTCAAACAATGATTCAAACACAAAAGCAGGTATCTACTGCACCCACACTGTGAATCTTGGTGACTTTTCCTAGTATGTTGAAGGGAAAAGAAACAGCAAAAGATACATACTTCTCTGGAGCTTCCTAGCAGACAAGCAGGCCTACTGCTATGCCTACGCTCCCTTACCTTCCCTTTCAACAGAAACCCTTGAAGATCAGGGGAGCTCTGCCCTCTCCAGGCAATTTAGTATTCAAAGGGTCCCATTCATTTGGCTCACCAAAGGGCTGCAGACTTGGCTGTTAAGGGGCAGTGCAGGAGCCAGCAGAGAGGGCAAGATCATCTATTGCAGGGGCACTTCTAACTCAACACCAGCTACATCTGGTGAGGCTGAGTCGGTAAGATGGGACTGATCATATGGAATGATTCCATATGCATATGGGACAGAGGAATGATTTCATTTGAATTTCAGTACCTGGCCTTGGACTCAGTACTCATTACTTGTTCTCAAATCAGAAGTAAATGTCGACATAGTATACTACAGCGAGACCACTTATACATGGATTTTTAAAAATTTTGACAATTTGAAAAAAATGAATTATATAGCCTAGAAATATAGAACAGGTATGCCATGAATGCATAAAATCTGATCTATTTAATACTATATTCACAACTCGTAAAAGTTGAAACTTAGTGTCATTCAGCAGATATGCAAATACAGCAATAAATTGGAACTATCATAACCACTAGTCCTGTGGCACAAACCTGTAGACCCGGTACTGTGGGAGGCTGAGGTAGGATCACAAGTTCATGTCCAGCCTGGGAATCTTTCTAAGCAACTCAGTGAGACTAAAAAAAATGGCCAAGGCTATAGCTCAGTACAAAGGCCCCCGAGATCTCTGACAAAACTTGTTTCTCCAATAACTGCTTTGTTGCAGTACAGTGATTTCCCCAATTCAGGTATGCTTGTCACCGTATGTAACACATGTAACACAAACTACGTAGCAAAGCTGGCTGTCATTGGTGAGGGTTCTGTTGAACAGCAGGCTATTAGTGGAGCTTTCAGGAAATTAAGTCATTAGATTTCTGCCTGCATGGATCCGTGTTAAATCAGTTGTGGTAGGGCTGGGGATTTAGCCTAGCAGCATAAGCACTTGCCTTGCAAGTGTGTGGTTGTGAGTTCGATCCCTGGTACCGATAAAAAAGAAAAAGACAAACATTTAAAAAAAAAAATCAGTTGTTGTAGTACAGGCTATCACTTGTACAGCATTTGCTGCGTCAGGTACAGTGATAGGAACTCTAAATAGATGCCATTAGGCAGATAAGGCATTGATGTGTCCTCAGTAGTTGTGGACTGGCTCGACCTGGGTGAGCAGAGCAGCAGCACAGAACATGTACTGATGAGTAATAAAGCAACCCAAAGAGCAAGGCATCTCTTCACCACAATTCTACCACCCCGATGGCCTCTGCCTCATTTTCCAGGTTAGGAGTAGAGAATGGCTGAATGAAGGTGGTGAGGTAGGGTATATGGTCGAAATTCCTTGCACTTCCCACTGGGGATGGGAGATCATAGGTGGAAAACAGGCTTCACACTCACTGTTCTACTGGCCTTTGTAAATCCACATTCTTATCTAAGCACAGATCCTTCCCAAACCTTTCCCCCATGGTTCTGTGCTTCAACTGGTTCTCCACTTGTATGGTGCCATTTTGGTTCCTAATCCTCACATGGCCTCTAAGTTGTTGGTCAAGATCTCACACTTCCAGGTGTTTTCTCCTTGCCTCAAGAGCAAGCTGATCAGCTCCCAGCCTCTGAGATCCCAGGTTGTTGTTTTTTTTTTTTTTTTTTTTTTTTGGTTTTTAAGACAGGAGTCTTGCTATCTAGTTCAGGCTGGCTTCAAATACTTGATGATCCTCCTGCCTCAACCTCCCAGGTAGTACGGTTACAGATGTGTCACCACACCCAGCCCTGAGTTCCAATTTGTCTCTAACTGCCTTAAGTCCTAATGATCAGAACATATGTATAAATTGAAGACCTGTAATAGTCTAATTTTAACAAGTTTCAGTACAAATAATCCTGTCTTGGCTGGTGGTGTAGGCTCTGGGTTCAACCCCCCAAACTGGGGAGAAAAAAAGAAGTCCTGTATCAAGTGAACTACTGTATACTGTGTAACAAGTTCAGAAATATCTGGGATTAAACCAGGCACAGGGGAGCATGCCTGTAACTCCACTATTTAGGAGGCCAGCCCCAATGGTTTAGCAAGACTTTGACCAAAGATAAATAACCTAAAGGCTGCAGATGTTGCTCAGTGCTAGAGCACTAGCCAGCAGCTGCAAGGTCCAACACCACAAAAATGCGTGTAAGTAGACACAGGAACCAGTCATTCCCTTTACACGTAGAGTTACTGAGGCCAAACACCAGAGCCATCTATCCACCTGTTCTCAACCCTTCCAAGAATTATCGAGTTTAAAACAACACTAAAGAATGTCATTTTTACATTCTTTTCAACTTTAATTCCTAGTCACAAGGTTTTATGTATCAAGTAACTCACCCTGAGACTCATAATATGTAAATGGTTACAAAATCCAAGTATGAGTCCACTATTTTTCCTATTTATAAGTCCTATGGATTCAATCAGCCAGATGAAAATTTTTGAGTTTTGGAGCTAAGAATTGAATCCAGGATCTCTGCACTGACTGGTACATTTCCAGCTCTTTGAGATATTTGCTAAGCTGCCCATGTGGGACTCAAACCCGTGATTGTCTTGCCTCAATTGCCCAGAGTCCTGGGATCACCACCATGATCTTGTTATGTAGTCTAGACTGCTCTTGAACTATGCAGGTTATAGTGATATCAAACTCAAAATCCTCCTTCCTCAAGCTCCAAAACAGAATTTTTTTAAAAAAATTTGGATCTGTACTGACCTTACAGAGATAATATGACGAGTTTTAGAGATCTACTGCACAAAAATGAATACATCAACACAATAGACCTGTACACTTAAAAACACAGTAAATTTTATGCTACATTTATAATACAAGGTAAAAGCATGGATCCTTCAGCATAATTTATTCTCTCAAATATTAAGCCCCTTGTGTACATATCAGTACAAACACAATGTGCATTGCAGATCGGTCTAATTCAAACAACCAAGTCACCACCAGGTGGTGTAGCTAGTTGGCCTCTCTGGCCCAGGACAGCTGTCCTCATCATGTCTTCTCTCTCTGACCAACCAGAATGTTTTATCATTCTTGCAAGATTTTCAAGCCCATGTGTTCCTCATTGGTTCCACTTACATAAATTAAGGGCATCCAATTTCTTACAAAATACAAACTATTATGGCAGGAGAAAAAAACTAGATAATTTACACATTTTTATAAGCTTTGTAGTTCAGTCTGGCCTAGAATTTGCAGGGATCTACCTGCATCAGCTTCCTGTGTTCTAAGATTACAGGTGTACTACCACCGTAAATAATTAACACGGTTGTAAAAAACTTTTCCTGAGCATAACAGCTAAAAGGATAGGACTTACAAAATGTTAAGTTCTAATGACAACTTTACACTACTAATTAAGTAAATTTATTTCTGAACTTTAAGCACATTGGCACAGGCAAAATCCCTTTAATACTTCAGGGATACTAAAGAATAAAACAATCTTAAAAAAATATCTCTTCCCAGGCTGGGACTACAGCTCGTTTTTAAGCCTGTGCTCAATCCTCAGCCACTAAAACCAAACCCCTCTTCTAAATCTACAACCGTAAACTTCAGGACAGGTAACTGAGGTACCACCTTACCATAAGCCTTCATGGTCCCACAGATTATTTCTCTGCTCAGGCCCTCCAATTCTGGCCCTTGCCAAGTACCACAAATGTCTTAAAGAGGGTAAGTAATGCTGCCCAGACCAATAAGATGCAATTTCAACATCGAACAGACAGTCCAGATACGCCCTAAGTCTTTGTACAAGATTTATTAAATGTCTTTATGTAGTAGCCTCCGTTTTCAGGTAATGCTGCCAAGGACACCCTGAAACCAAATAAAACACAGTAAGAGAAAACCTCACCCAATTATCAAGTTCCTTCATGTAACAAACGGTACATATACATTTCCTCTTGGGATCTTTTTAAGATTAATAAAATAGAGCACCAAGAAACAAACAAACCAACAACCTCGGGTGTGTTAGGCACTAGAGGCTTGGTGTTACTGTTTCATAGGAACAACAAGAGGACTGAACAATTAAAGAGTGACCTGGAAGGCCTGAGCAACTAAGGAAGGGCAACAAAGGAAAATCATTTCAAACACAGTAAAGGGCCTTTTTCTTAGGATGTCCTTAAAAGAACAAAGGCAAACACCCATCCCAACAGAATCATGGGCCCTACATTCCAACTTGCATTCTTCCATGTGAAACCAGTGGAATCCCAGTGTTCACAGAGAAGTAATGGGGAAGAGGCCCCTGCAGACAAACCTGTTATGCTGTGGGGACCGGCTGGGGCATGGCGGGCGGCTCTGGTTTCCCACCCTTCTGTTCTGAGATGGGAGTGGTGGGCAGGATCTCATCTTTGGGTTCCACGATGCTCACGTGGTCAGGCAGAGGCTTCTTGGGTCCAATCTTACCACTTGGATCCCAGGGCAGCATGATCTTTACTTTGATACCCAGCACACCTAGAAGACAAGTCAGGACATAGCTTGGGTTTCACCAACTGCTATGCACAGTGAACAGGATGGAAAAGAACAGTAGTTTATAACTAGTGCTACTACATCTCATCCCTTCTCAGACAAATGCCTCTAAATCAATCAATAAGCAGGACACTTTTGCAAAAGGAACCCACGTGCAGTACCACAGAACATGGTACTGTCATGGACCAAAAGCAAGACGTGGCCTTTCTGACTCGTCATCGTGTCATCACTGAAGGGTACGTAGATTGTCTGTGACATGAGCCAACCATGAGTCAATCTATCTCAGCAACACAACTCTTCCAGCCCGAGCAGTTCAATCAATGAAGCCAAGGAGTGCAACAGGTTTACCTACTCCCGCCGTGTACTGCTCTAACACTGATGCACTGTGGAAAAGCACATCTAGCTGCTAATGCCCTTCACCCCAAGCATTCCCAGAGGCTTACCCTGTCTGAGCAGCACATGGCGCACAGCAGTGTCAACGTAGTAGTTAACAGGGTCCCCACTGTGGATCATCAGGCCATCCACAAACTTCATGGACTTAGCCCTCTGTCCTCGGAGCTTCCCAGACACCACCACCTCACAGCCCTTGGCTCCGCTCTCCATGATGAAGCGCAGCACACCATAGCAGGCTCTGTGAAGAATAAGAGACCCATCTGTGTTGCTGCCGACAGGCTTTATCCATCCCAGCAGGTAAACAGACAACAGTAAGAGTTGGTCTTCACTGTTTTCAGTGGCCCCTTAATGAGTACAAACTTGACCAAGTTGTACTCCAGAAATGCCAATTCTATCCCTTTCATTTTGATGCAAAATTCCTTCTAACCAAGTGTTTTCCAACCTCAGCTGCCTATCAGAATCACCTCACAAGGCCAGGGATGGTGGTATCCACCTGCAACTCTGAACACTGAGGCCAAAGGATCACTTCCAGTTCAAGGGCAACCTGGGCTACACAGGAAGTGTCTCAAAGCCAAAAGAATCAGCTCAGGCTAAAATAATAATAAAAAAGAAGAAAAGAAAAGAAATTCTGACACCTAAGGTCCTGGCTATCTTAATATGAAGTGTTGGGAAACCATTTAGGTCTATAAAACTAAGTTATAAAGTATCATACCCCATCACTCAACTCTTATTTCACTCCTTGGCAGATACCAAACCTCCAGGACCTTTTACATTCTCATTTAATTTAAACCTTACAATAGAGAGGTAGTATAATGACCTCCCACTTAAAAGGTGGGGCAGACAGCAGATGCCTGCAATCTCAGCACTTGGGAGGCTGACACAGGAGGATGGTTAGAAGTCTGAGACTAACCTGGGCTACAAAGTGAGCTCAAGACCAGCCTGAACTGCATATCGAGACCCTGTCTCAAAAAAGTGGGGTGATCCAAGGCCCACAGGTTAGTAACTTTCTTACACCTCAGAACTTCCAAGTCAAACTACTTGTGTGCAAAAATTAAGACTGGTAGGCTACAACTCCAGTTTTCCACCCAGTCCTAAGTGAAACAGTTTTTATTTCTAACACATTCCCAGGTGATAGCAATGACGTGAGCCCTCAAACCAAACTTCTAAAAATCAGTTTTGTAGGCAATGGAACCACAGCAGTATTTTTCACAGGTCCTTGCTTATACTATTCACTCCTACCAAGCCACTTTCCCACAGGGTAACACTCAAGCAAATCAACACATTTAAAGCATCTGAACAACTAAGTTGCTTTAAATTTTGTGAAATTCCACAAGAGCTAAAGCAGGTCTACTGCCTATTGATACATTAACACAAGCTCAGTAAGAGGCAGAGTTATTCCTACTACCAGTCCACCAGGGACCTTTCTAAAGCCCACCAAGGAAGCTCACAGTTATTTTCTATTTATTCCCAAACACCTGGGACATTTTTCCATTGTGACACTGACCACTTTGTGATTTTCATCTTCTTCACTGTCTTTTAGTCTGCCAGCTCAGCAGGCCCAGTCTGTTGTTATAAACCTCAGAGTAGATGATCTTGTCAATGGGCGTTTATCTGGCAAATTAACAAACTGGCAGACACACCATATTCTGGTCCACACAAAAAGGGCATAACCATCAAGTGTCAGAACGCTTACCTCCGCACAGCAAGCCCTCCTAGGAGTTTGTAACGCAGAGATTCTGCCTGGGCAATGGCACACAGACCCCTCGTTGCCACCTTTTCGGCATAAAGCTGTAAAGAAACCAAGGCACATCTGTTAACCTTTATCACTCTTCTTTTTTTGATACCAGGGATGGAACTCACGACCTTGCATTTGCCAGACAGGCGCTTATGCCGCTGACCTAAATCCCCAGCCCTTGTCACTCTTTTTAATACCCAACACCATCATCTTACAGTGACACAGGCTGAACCATTCTTTACTGCACTCTCACACCTGGATGCAGCTATGGCTACACCAGCCAGTGGGTAGTCATATGTAAACGGTATGTAAAATCTGTAAACAAAAACTGAACAGGCTAATAAAAATTAAGCTCACTGCTTAAAGAATTTCAACAAAATACCAATTCAAATTCACTGAGATATGAGAAAATAATGAAAATCTCCAAGGTATGCCAGACTTTTTATGTGGGCCTAGTGGTGCATACCTATAATCCCGCATTCTGGGAGGCTGAGGCAGGAAGAGCCTTCAAGTTCAAGGCCAACCTGCATCACATTGTGAGATCCAGTCTTATACGAAAAACAAGACTACTCACCTCTACACTGCCCTCAGGGAAGCCAAACCTCTTCTGAACTACAGCAGTCAATTCTCGGATTCTCCGGCCCTTCTCACCAAGAACATTTTGCGTCCTGGGGTGGAAGGATGTGACAGACAATTCATGACTCGCAAAATCCTAGGTACAAACTTTAAATCTTGCTTCTATGATAGTAGCAAAATCTCATTCATCTGCCACAAAGCAAGTATGAAATTTAGATTACAATGGTAAAATTTTTAAATGGCCTTAACAAAAATCAACTACATTCACCAACGCCTGATTCCCTGGTGGTCTCCATAAGTGTATACAGAATAAACCACTTTAGAATATACAGTAACTTTAGGCGATGGCTAGTTAGGTCAGTTTTTACCTGGTGGCTAAAATGATGATTTCTGTCCTTGTTGGTGTAACTCGGACTTCAACTCCAGAGTAGCCATCTTCAGCCAGCTCCCGAGTAAGAAATTCATTCAGTTCAGCTTTGAAGATGCCATCCGCGACAAACTAACAACAAAAAAAATTCATAATCAGGATATGAACTGGACATGGTGACACACTCATAAACCAAACACTCAGGAGGCTGAGGCAGTAGGATCACTGAAAGTTCCAGGCCAACCTCAACTACTCTGTGAGACCCTCTCAAAAAAATACAAACACCAAAGGCAGGTGTGGTGGTTCAAGCCTGTAATCCCAGCACTCAGGAGGCTGGGGCAGGAGAATCACTTCATCTTCAAAACCAGCCTGGGCTACAAAGTGAGCTCAAGACCAACCTAACTATTTAGTGAGACCATGTCTCAAAAAGACAAGAACAAACAACAGACCAGAAATTTAGCTCAGTGGCACAGTGCCCGCCTAGCAAGCATGAGATCCTGAGTTCAATTCCCTGTACCAACGACAACAACAAAACCCCTCACGACCCCCAACATTGCTCCAATACCCTTGGTTCCAAAAGGAATGAAGAAACCCTTCTCAGACAAATGCCTCTAGGTCATCTTTAGGAAGTTTCTCGGACCAGGACCCTAACCTGCGCCGCAGAACGCAGCGCAGATAGGGCCTCACAGGCCAAGACAAGACTTCCAAGTCAGACTCGTCATCATCTCTTCATCGAAGGGTTTCATTTTTTAATTTTACACACACAACATAAAAGGCTAAAGTAGCACCCTTACACTTAGTACGGCAAGAACAAAGTGTAACTTGTGAAAGAAGCACAGTGAAAAGATACGAGTATCCACAACCTTTAGATTCCTGGACCATCACACGAATCCCAGTCATTCTTCCTTAACGTACGTGTGGACTGGGTTGGCAAACCCTAGCTCAAGTTCTGTTGGCTGGTTTAACATCGATACATATATACACGTAAAAAATGACAAACCACCTATTTTTAAAAGCTAATATTCTGCAGTTCTCTTCCACGAATAGCAAGCAAATTAAAACTGAAGTTTCGTCCCCAAAGGTGCATGCAATCATGAACTTAAGGCCTTTGGAGTCAAAAGGCTACACTCCCCCTTCTCAAGCCAATAGTTCTGTTGAAAAATGCTCACAAGTGTTTTCTCCGAGATAACTGAGGCGCCCGGTGCACATCTTCAACCAGAATTAACCAGCCAACTCCGTAACCCTCTTCCCCGGCCACACGGCGCTTTGCACGGCACGGGCCTCGCACTCAATCCACCGCCATCCGCGGCACCCCGGAGCTCTAGGAGAACTTAACAGTTCTCTGGCGCAAGACACGGAGCTGCGAGTCTCGCCGTAAAGCCACTGAGAAGCCTTGGGCCCGCGCGGAGCCGCATTTCTCTGGGATTTAGGCCCACAAGCTCACCTTCCTCTTCTTGGAAATTTGCACCGCCATCTTGCCGCCGTGGGCCGCCAAAAAGAAAGGAAGAAGCTCTGCAGCGGAAATGAGTATAAAGGCGCGGAGGGACGACGAAACAGTGCGCGACGTCGGCGCCTGTGGGCACTCATGGGAAATGTAGTTTTAGGCCTTACGGGAATAGACTCATAAAGAGAGAGAGGGCTCCAGGCGCTAGGAGAACCGAAAGCAAAGTTGGTTGTCTTAGGCTCATAGTTTAGAAACAAGTAACTGGAGGCATAGAGATGAACATTACATAGAGTCCGAGGGTAGTCTGGGCCACTTTTTTTCAAAAAATTAAATAATAATAATAGATTTTACAGGTATCAGCTCACACAGCAACAAGAATGAAAGCCCCCAGTGGAATTGATTTAGATAGCCCCATGGCTAATCTGTCCATTGCCTCTGTTACAAATGATATTACTAATGCTGATATTTTTTCTGTGTACTTTGTATCCTTAATTCATTTACCTCTATCTCACTCCCTCATCCTCCACCCTGATGCTGAGAATTGAACTCAGGGCCTTCACGCTGAACTATATCCAATTTTTATTTTGAGACACAATAGTTTCCATGACTCCGATTTGTGAGCCTCCCTCTCAGCCTTCCAGAGTGCTGGGATTACAGGCTTGCACTACTGTGGCTGGCCCTGTCTTGCCTTTTTTTTTTTGAGGCAAGTTCTCGCTGTGTAACTCAAACTGGCTTTCTACTCACTATGTAGTGCAAGTCGACCTCGAACTCTCAATGATCCTCCTGCCTCAGCCTCCCAAACACTGGGATTACCAGCACGTACCATGCTGACTCTACCTCACTTTTATAAAATCCATTAAAAACTGTATCAAAAATAAATAAAAACCAAAAAGTGTCAAAGTCAGAGTAGTGATTCATGTGCTCCAATTTCTTTATCTTAAAAATTCCCCTTCTTTTTATGAAAATTTTCAAGCATACAAAAAATTAAAAGAATTATTCAGCTAGGTGTGGTGGTGTATGCCTATAATCCTAGCACTCTGGAGGCTGAGGCAGGAGGATCACTTCAAGTTTGAGGCCAGCCTGGGCTACATAGTGAGTTCAAAGCCAGTCTGAACTACATAGGGAAACTCTGTCTCAAAAATAAACAACAACAACAAAAGAATTATTCACTGCACACCAGTATGCATACATATCACTGAGGGGTTAAAATTATACTTTGCTAGATGAGTGTGGTGGCACACAGGTAGCCCATCCTAGGCAGCTTAGAAAGTTAGTAAAACCCTGTCTCAAAATTATAAAAAATTTAAAAGCTAGGATGTAGCTCAGTGCAAAGGCCCCAGGTTCAAGCTGAACTATTGAACGATAATTACAGTAACGAAAGAGCCAGCAAAATAGTGGACTCACACTCTGCCAGAACAGACTTTTCTTTCCCAATAGGTGAAACGGAGTTTCTCACTGTCCCATGGGAACATTCACTCACTTCACTTAGTGAAAGTCCCAGGCAACCTCACTTAACTCCAGCACTAAAACAGTTCCGACACAAGGTGAGCTGTCCCATGGTCATGGACTAAGAGCTCTGTGAAAGCTGAGCAGAGGACCCAGGGCAAAAAGAAAAGCAGTAGATGAGCCAAACAGACACACACATGGCTTGGACCTGGTGCCCCTTAATGATGCGTTGAGGTTTGAAGAATTGAGAAAGGTGTCCTGGCTCCTGACTTCAGTGGGGGATGCTCACTAACATGAGGGACCTGCCAATAGTGTTTCCCCTTTGCTCTTCACTCGCCTCTTCTTCTGGTCTGTGAATTCAGTAGTGCCACGTTGCTGAAACTCTGACCCTGTGAATTTGCCATCCCAATATTTCTGAGTGTTCACTAGAGTTGTTGGCAGTGTGGGAGGCTTTCAGCCTTGAATCCTGAGTCACACTAGCCCCCCTTAAATGGGCTCCTGGTGCTCATAGGTGAACTGCCTCTACTTCCTCATTTGGATATGCTTCTCGTTCTGTCATGTACCTAGTATGATCTTTTTTTCCTAATCAGTCTTTGTCAAAGTTTGAAACCACAGGATTTCTTTCTCACCCTTAGCAGTCAATTTCTCTCCTAAGCCCTTGTCACCAAATAGATTGTACCAGCAGGAAATGCCCCCCACCCATCCAGTAATTCTGTGTGACCCTCATCGCCTTCCCTCCCAGTTTAGAAAAGAAACCCTCTTCCCACCCACAGTCAATCTCCCCGGTGTGTTCTGATTCAAGTTTAGAGGTTTCTTTGAGTCCTTGCTCTAACCACCCTTCCCTCCTGTGGCAGTCTGTCTTTCTGCCAGCTCTTTTGCTTCCCCACTGTCCCCTGTGTTATATATGTCACTCCCTCCAGGCATGTTTCTGAAGCCCCTCTCAGTTGATTCCATAGCATAACGTTCTGAACATTCTCTCCCCCACCATAACACGCGTCTTGCCACCTTGGAAAGGCCTGTTTTGTGTTTCTCCCACTAGCCCGGTGATTGTGAACCTGTGGCACATGTACTGTAGCAGGCATGCAGTGACCTCACTGCAGTTTGAGGGTTTAAGTTGCCCTAGCAAACCAAGTCCCCCCAGATTCTGGAGATTTGTTGCTGAAGATCAGATGCAGCAGGTTCTGAGGTTAATGTGTCCTCTGCAGGCTCCACTAGCTCATCTGCTATCCTTCCCAGCAGCACCAGGAGGCCCTTGCTTTGGTATCATCCTTATTCCCAAGAGAAAGTCCATAAAGGAAGACTCTGTGTTGATGATAATGCTCTTTGTAAGACTATTGTAAGAAAAAACACATTCTATCACCCAAAACAATGCTCTGAAATTATAGTACAATACACTGAGTTCTAATTAAGTATCTTAAATTTCTCCTTGGCTGTCTGAAATGTAAACAAGGCTTTGTCTGGTTAGCCCGCAGTGTCACAGAGCTGCCCCTAAGACCATGTGTCTGAGAACCACACAGCTCTGCAGCTGCCCTATGGCCCTGCCTGGGTCCTGTGATACCACAAGGTACTTTCCTGACATTGTTAAAAATCAAAAGTGAGATTTGCCCCACTTGAATATGTACAGCCCACAGTTTCTGAGACTAATTTAGATTTCAAAACCAGTAAAATAGCTGTGTACGGTGGTGCACACTCGTGCTTCCAGCATCCTGGGAGGCTGATGTGGGAGGATTGTAAATTCAAACCAAGCCTAGGCAACTTAGGTGTTCAGTAAGAATCCGTCTAAAAATTACAAAAGGTCTGGAGATGTAATTCACTACAAAGACCCTGCGTTTAATCCCTAGTACTCCAAACCCCTTATCAAAACAACAACATGCCAGGGATTTAGTTCAGTGGCGTAAGTGCCTGCCTGGCAAGTATAAGGTTGTGAGCTTGATCCCCAGTACCAAAAAACAAACAAAACAAGACAAAAGCAACAACAAAACACCAGTAAAGTGGAACCACAGAGAAAGCATTTATTTAACTTATCTAAATCCAGTTGAAGGAGTCTGACATAAAAGTAGGATTTAAGAGTGTGGGTGAGGGTGGGTGTGGGGCTTGCGGCACCACAAGGTGCTAGCCCAAAGCCGGGGGAGAGCAAAGGGGTTTGGTCTGTCGTCACAGGCAGCCCAGTCGATCCTCTGTGACTTCTCATGGCCTGAGTGTCTAGCTGGCCTGAGTGTCCTTTGTTCTGAAAGTGCCCTGAACAAGCTAGCTACTTTAATGTCCAGCAAGGAGCCAGGGATTCTCCTCAATGCTGGAGGAAGAAGACCTGATCAGCAGGACTGAGGCACACCTGTGCCCTCTAGGGTAGCTCCTAAATGGCTCGCTGTTCCAGGGTAACTCCGGCCATGCTTGGTTGTCACTTTTGACTCTAATATCTTCATTGAGGTACTAGGATGCCATCACATTTCCATCAGTTTTTTTTTTTTTTTTTATCAGTGCCAGAGATTGAACTCACGACTGCGCACTTACAAAGCAGGCGCTTATGCCACTGAGCCCCAGCCCCACATTCCCATCAATTTGATTAAAATTTATCAGTGACTCAGTCTGGGCCTCAAATTGAATCTCTGTATATGAATAGAATAATACTGCAAAGTAGATTTTAAAATGTTTTACTGCTCTTTTGTCATTGCTAAAAGATTCACACATGTGAACACCCCACTTACAGTAAAAAATAATCTCCAGCTGGGGATTTAGCTCAGCAGCATAAGCACCTTCCTGGCAAGTGAGAGGTCATGAGTTTGATCCTGGTACCAAAATAAATAAATAAATAAATAAATAAATAAATAAATAAATAAATAAAATCTCC